GGGGGGTGCTCGCGGCGGGCCCAGCCGTGTGAGCCCCCCTGTCTCAAGGCAAGGCCAGGACCAGCAGGCGGAGTGTGCAGGAGCTGTGGTGGCACCAGGTGGCGCACGGCCTGGGGGCGCGCTCAGCAGCGCAGGGGCTGGAAATGGCCAGGGTCCCGTTAAAGGGTTGGAGCAGGACGGCTGGACGGTGGGGGGGCAGCTGGGGAAGACAGACCGTGCGCAGGTGGCAGCGGTGGTTGAGAAAAATCGGGATGTGTTTGCGTTTGGGTTGGGGGAGATCGGACAGTTTAAGCTCTTTGAGGTTGAGCTCAAGCTCAAATCCGAGCAGCCCATCTTCGAGCGCACGCGGAGGCACAGCATCAGGGAGTGGGAGCTCGTGGATGAGAGATGTCGGGAGCTGGAAGAGGCGGGAATAATCGAGGAGTGTGACAGTGGTTTCGCGGCTAACTCGGTGATGGCGGCCAAAAAGGACCCTGAGGGGAACTGGAAGCTAGCGCGGTTCTGCACGGACCTGCGCGCCATCAACGAGCAGACAGCTCAGGATGGATATCCAATGCCCTTGCCTGAGGAGGTGTTGGAGGGGCTTGGGCACGCGAAGTTCTACTCCACGATTGACATCCGGGGGGCCTTTCACCAGCTGGTGGTCAAGAAGGAGGACCGAAGGAAGTTGGCCTTCTGGTCAAGCTCCAAGCTTTATTGCTGGAAGCGCTGTCCCTTTGGGGCGAGGAATGCCAGCGCGTGGTTCCAGAGGGCCATCGACCGCACGCTGCGGGGGCTGGAGTCGTTTGCTCGGAGCTTCGTGGACGACTTGCTGGTGGCTGGGGGGGAGACGGTCGAGGCGCACATGGAGCTGGTGCAGCAGGTGTTCGACAGGCTGCGGGAGGGAGGGCTTAAGTGCCATCCGGAGAAGTGCCGCTTTGCTGCGGATTCGGTGGAGTATCTGGGGATGTGGCTGCGGCCGGGCGTGGTGTCCCCACAGGTGGCCAAGGTCGCGGCAATTGCAGCTCTCCCAAGGCCCACGGATGTGACGTCTGTGAGAGCCTTTTCGGGGGTAGTCAACTACTACCGTCAGTTCATCCCCGAGTGCAGCCGGCTGCAGGCGCCCCTCAATGCGCTCACTAAGAAGGGCGCGTCCTGGGAGTGGGGGGAGGCGCAGGAAGAGGCCTTCCAGGCGCTCAAGCTGGCCCTGCAGGGAGACCCGGTGTTAGTCCTCCCAAGGCGGGGGAGGCCGTTCCGCGTCCGCTGTGACTGGAGCAAGAAGGGCATTGGGGGCGTGCTGCTGTAGGAGGATGAGGCGGGGGTCGAGCGGGTGGTGGCTTACGGAAGTAGGAGTTGCAACGGCGCTGAGTCAAGGTATAGCAGCTTTGAGGGGGAGTTGCTAGCGGCAGTCTACTTCGTGCGTCTGTGGCGTCGGTATATGTATGGGGAGCGGTTCACGCTTGAGAGCGACCACCAACCGCTCAAGTGGATCCTCACCAACGGTAAGCTGACGGGCAAGATGGCAAGGTGGGCCTTGATGCTCAGCGAATTTAACTTTGAGGTTGTCCACCGGCCGGGGATAGACAATGAGATGGATTGTCTAAGTCGGTTTCCACAGGAGAGCGCGGAGGACTGCGCAGGGGTGCGCCAGGAGGGGGAGCTGGAGGATCGCTTCGTATGGCCGGCGGCCATGTGCTTGGCATGGATGCCCCTGAGGCAAGGCGCGCGGTTTGTGGTGCGCGGGACGGGGGAGCCTGTGGTGGCGGCGGCGGCGGCCCTCAGGTCCGATGTGACGGTGTCGGGTGAGCAGCAGCGCAGGGCAGGGACGCAGGGAGCAGCGCTGGGGAGGCGTGTGGAGCTGGGAGACGGGCGGCAGGAACGCAGCCAGGAGGCGGTGGCCGGGGGGGCGCTGCCAAGGCACAGGGCAGGCGCGTCAGCCAGCGAGTCCAGAGCGCGCGCAGCAGTGGCGGCGTCAGGCGGCCAGCTGGGAGGGCGCCAGGTCCAGGAGCCGGAGCGCGCGCTGAGCCAGGAGCGCAGCCAGGGGCGCAGCCAGGGGGCGGTGACCGGGGGGGCACTGCCGAGGCGCAGGGCAGACGCGCTAGCCGGTGAGTCAGGAGCGCGCGCGACAACGGCGGCGCCAGGCATGCAGCTAGAGGGGCGCCAGGTCCATGGGCTGGGGCGCGCGCTGGGACAAGACGCTGGCGCGGAGGCGCAGGGAGTAGAGGTGGAGTGGGGTGGGCCCCACCCTGGGGTCCAAGCGGCAGGTGCGGCTGAGGTCTGGGAGGATGCACCGCTGTTGGCGCTACTCAGGGGGTCAGGATTTGCCCCCTCAGCAGATCGCGCAGAGCGCGATCGGCTGAGCACCGAGCGCGACAGTATGGGTGGGCGGGAACCCATCTGGTGCGGCGAATGGATGGAGGGGGCGAGCGGGTGGTGCCCCGAGTTGGGGAGCGGGAGCGGCTCATCCGGGACATCCACGAGCGGGCCGGGCACTTCGGGGTCAAGAAGACCCTGTCTCTTCTTGCCCCGCACTACTGGTGGCTGGGGTTGGCCACCGACGTGGCGAGGGTGGTCCGGGGCTGTGGGGCGTGCGACCGCGCGAAGGCGGCGTTCAACGTGAAGCACCCGACCCTGCAGCCATTGCCGATTAAGGGGCTGTTTTATAGGTGGGGCCTGGACTTTGCAGGGCCCTTGCCCAAGTCCAGCAGGGGCCAGCTATATGTACTGGTCATGGTTGAGCACTCTAGCAAAACCATCGTCCTGGTGCCTACGCCGGACAAATAGGCGGGCACGGTGGCGACGGCGTTTACGCGGGAGGTCCTAACGCGCTATGGCGCGTGCGCGGAGGTGGTCACGGACAGGGGCGGGGAGTTCGGGGGCGCTTTTTAAGCCTGCCTTGACGCAGCTCTGGTTGATCACCGCGCAACGTCGGCTTACCACCCGCAGGCCAACGGGTTGAGCGAGCGGGTCGTGGGGTTGGTGAAGCGGGCCCTGCGCAAGTGGTGTTTGGGGCATGCGTCTGAAGAGTGGGATGCCTACTTGCCATGGGTGGCAATGGGCTATAACTTCAGTGCTCAGGCATCCCTGGCTGGCTTCTCCCCGTACCAGATCCTGTTTGGTAGGGATCCCGTGGTCCCCGGGGCAATCAAGGTGGCGCTGGAGGAGCCGCTGGATCTGGATTGCCCGGAGCGGTTGAGGGCGCTGGTGGCGCAGCGGGCCGCGCTGTTCGGGAGGTGGATGCCCATGGCGATGGGCAACCTCCAGATTGCGCAGCATCGCGACACGCTGCGGTACGCCAAGACGCGCAGCGGGGCATGGAAGCCACAGCTTGTCCAGTACGGGGTGGGGGATTATGTTTATCTCCAGCGGGAGATGCTAGACACGCTGGACACTAGAGCAGGTGAGCGTGTCCTGCGGGTGCGGGCTGTGGGGGCAAATGGCGTCCTGGAGCTGGAGGGGGCGGATGCGAGGACAGTCCGGGTTCACGTGGAGCGGTGTGCCCCGTGTCACCGCCCCGATGTGGACGGGAGGATGGACCCGAGGGCGGCGGTTCCTCCGCCAGACTTCGCGTGCACGAGGTGTCGGAAGGCGTCGGGGGCAGCCAGGATGCTGCTGTGTGACGGATGTGGGGCAGGGTGGCACTTGGAGTGCCTGGACCGGCCCCTGTCGGCAGTCCCAGAGGGGGACTGGTATTGTGTGCGGTGCCGGGGGGCACAGGACTCACTGGGCCAGAGGCCAGCAGCTTTATAGGTGGGCCTTGCTGGGCGGCTGCCGGCGCAGGGCCCAGGAGGGGATGGTGCAGTGATATAGTATCTGGCTGTATCTATTGTGTCGAGATGATCTGGCAAGAGCTGTATGGAGGCGACAGCTGTCATGCCAGATCATGTCGCATGCGATTCGTGTCTGAATTAGTAGTTAAATCAAAAATTGGATAATAAATGAGGACATGCCGGTAGCATAGGCTATGACTCAGGCCCTAGGCTAGAACTTCAGACAGGTGTGAGCTTGTGCTTCATTCTTTCTTCTGTTCAATCCAAGGCTGTGGTAGAGACGGTGTAATAAGGAACTCTTGACAGCTGAACGATGGCCTGAAGTAAGTCTCATGTGCAAGCGCGGAGCGCGCGCGAGTAGTGCTGTGTATACCTATCACATTCATGGACCTTCTGTGATGCGTGGAATGTGGCGCAGAACAATCACATGGTGCAGTGATATAGTATCTGGCTGTATCTATTGTGTCGAGATGATCTGGCAAGAGCTGTATGGAGGCGACAATGCATTGTACTGCCAAAGGTAGTAAGTCAATATTGATATCGCAATTAGTTGATTCTTAGTTGATTCTTTGTATCTTGACGTCGTAAATTTGGTTTGCAGGATCACTACCCATATGGCGGATCAATATCATGATGAGCGGCTCGCTACGCACATTACTAAGTACATCAAGTTGGACTTTACCAGCAGTGTCTCTTAATTGCGGCGCGGCCTTTGGCCATAGTAGGGCCATGATGAATGCACACGCGGTACCCTGCATTTCAAGTTTTGTACAATCCGGAATTCAACATTCCTAATCTTACTAAGATTTCCATCGCACCGCCCCTGCATGCTAGGGCATTAAGCCATGGTTTCGCATCCAAAATATTAGCTCCTCACCTCTGGCTCAAAATTACAGATGCCTTAGTACGCGTGATTTTCAGTGCGATTTGCAACTAATTTCTGCACGTCGCCGGCCGGTATACACATGTACCAAATTGCAGCCATCGCAAGAATTGTCTGTGCGTCACGTCAGTGTTGTACATTGCGTCGATCAGGGATCTGATGATCGATGCGCCATATGCGGGTGCCCAAGCGTATATTTATACATGAATAGAAGTACGCGCACGTGATTGCATCACCCATGATTGCATGGAGTAGTGTAATTAACACTAGACATGACAATTGCAGCCGTACCAAGCTGCAGAGTCATTGATCGACTCGTTGCATCCCGGTACGTCTTGAAGCGAAGTGTTGCCGCGCCGCGCGCGGCGATCGATGGCTCAGGTTTTATAAAACCAAGTGATCACCGAGTGGAGCCATGCATGCAGACAACTAGATCTATCTTACTCTATACAATAGCGGGGTACATATATGGGTCACCTAGAACGCGAATTGGGCATATGCATATGTGCATCGCTAGCTTCGGCGGTTTAATATTCGGGCCGTTGAACCAGCTCGCCGTGCCCGTGCTTGTGGGTGCAGTAAAGTATAGGTAAAGCTACCAGCCTGCGCAAACATGAATTGAAGCTACCAGTGGCTTCCAATCTGGCATCAACCGGACTCATTGCCGCTTCTATTACTTGACTTGGAAAAGAACGGATGCTGAGGTACGTGATTTAGGCTACTAGGATCAAAGTTAATGTTGCATAGAGCATCACGCACGCCTTACCCAGTCTTTTAAAGTAAGTTTTTCAGTTTGTCTTTATTGCAAAAATCTTCCGCTGCAGGCTCATACAACGGTTTGCTGATCGTTTCGCGTTAGCCAATTGTTTCAGGGTTGCCGACCAATTGAAAACTCACTGATCCCTGCCAGCCCTAGCGCTTTGAACTAAGTGTTGCTATCGAAGGAGACGACTATATATAGCAACTGCTGGCAACGTCTCCTATAGCTATCCCTAGTTGACTGCTTATTATCGAGCCCGGCGTGCCGATTGGTCTGGAACTCTTATTCGGACGGTCCGCATGTTTGCTGCAGTGTGCCTAGCTGCCGCCACCGACTAGGCTGTACATATGAAATGAGCTGTTCTGACGACTTATGTCAAGCTTGCGGCGCGAACGATGAGCTGTAACAGAACCGGCGGGATGTTTCACGGTTCTGACTGTGCCACACGTCGTATAGACGGGGAACTCGGACCGTTTGTGTCTCTATTTTACAAAGAATGCAACACGTTCTTCCAATGCAGTGGCGCAACTTGCGGCAACGCTACAGCGGCGCAACCCGCGAAGAAACTTAACGGCATGGAATCTCGGAAGTCGTCGTCATGAGGCGGCAACTGTACTGCGATCGCTATCGACCGCCTTAAGAACGATGCCTGCCGAACTACGGTAGTGCTTTCTACTCCCACGCTGCCACGTGTCGTCATCTCTCCACGCCCACGTGTCATCATCTGGCCGGCTCAGGCGCCGGGGTAGCTCTTTTTCCTGATCTTGTGGCTCGCCTTGAAGCACGCCTGCCGGAACTTCTTGGTCTCCTGCGCCATCCCCAGACTGGGCTGCTCCGCGATGCGCTTCTTCTCGCCAGCAAGCCTTTCAAGCGCGTTCTCAACCTGCATCAAGAGTTTGGAAATACAGAGTTTGTAAAGGTGGCGGATTTGCTGCTGAATAAACCTGCACTTCGCGCCTGTCACTGCTCCAGGCAAGAGAGAACTCGCAGAGGATGTTTCAAGACCAAGCTCGACCGCTCCGACTCTTCTTTCGACCGGATTTGGCCTGAAAAGGAGTTGCTAGAAGGGTGCAAACCTTCAGGTGACACCCAAAGAGGCTGTGATGAACTAGCTGCACGAAAAGCTTGGACCTTTTCGCATCCAAGTACTTGAATCATGTCCAGACATTCTTTTGAATCGGCTAAAGCTCTGACCAGAGTCTTACGCACCCAGCATCCGGAATCACGAGCAATCCCTATCCGAAAATCTTCATACTCAGACGTGCGGACAACCCAGACCTCTTAGAAGCACCAAATGACTTCCCAGTATGCATCCAACAGCTTCGAACCTCAGAAGACCCGACAAATGAAACCTCCAAAATCCTCGGACCCCAGCATTCACAAATCCCAAAGCACCTGCTGCGATGTATTGCCGTCGCCCAACTCTCTGATCGTTTGGATGAGGCCGTCGATACTCTTCACTTTGCGGTACGGCCAGCGAGGAATGTCCAACTCCCGGCACCGCCTTTTGAGCACCTGCGAACCGCAGACAGTTTGTGTGACAATGGGACTCCGGATGTAAGGTATTGACCTCCGAGACGTACTCAATATTCACACCAGGAACTTTTATAGAACCTCTGACCTCATCATTAAGTCGTTTTGCTCGTACGCTTCAGGAGGCAGTCAGTCGACCCATAAAAAAATTGTGAAGAAAAACGAATCACGAAAACCCTGACCCGTAAAGTCAAACCCCTGAATGCATCTTCAGCCAACACGATGAAAAGCCGTATGAAAAACACGTGGCAGTCTTTGCTGTGATACATAACGCAAGGGAGAATAGAACTTCAACACGAGGACAGAGCGCGCGATCAACCCAACAATTTTGAAGACCGGCAAAAGACAAGTAGTACTCGTCGGCAAAAGCTTCACACCACTGCAATCTGCAACTAAATGGGCGGCTATGAAGCACGCTGCGCTTTGAAAGTACCGCTCAAACTCGGGCCTGAGAGACCGTCTGGCTGCGATGTTCAGCGATCGACGCGGGCCTTCAGTTGAGGCTCAACTCAAAGTATGCCACCCGGAACGTCAAAAACAGTTGTCGCCGATCTTAAGAAATTCGGCTTCGAGTCACTTTCCTGGCCAAACCTCATTCAATCGTTATACTGCCTCTGATTTAGAACATCTGCCCGACGGAGCAATTGTGCGGTCCAAAAGTCACCCACAATCTGGCTTCAAAACCTTCTCTGATCAAGACCCGTGAAGTTAAAGCAGAAACGCGAACAGCACTCACCGTAGCCCCCACGCCTAGGGCCTTACACGCATCGGCCATGGGCATATCGAAATAGGGGGTCAAATCTTCCAACATGAGCACTGCCGCCTTCCTGGGAGTCGCACCCCCCCGGCTGGGCGGCAGACTGTGCAGAAACTCCGCAATGTTCAACCGAGCACTCTCGGCGGCCTCGAGAGTGCCAGGTTCGAAGGGGCCCACTTCTACTCCGTTGCCAGGCTGCCAGAGACTAGAAACGAGTCCTTGGTTAGCCCCAAGTGCTTGAAAAGCTCCAAGATTCGGCTCCGAAGCGGGTCTCCGCATATGCGCCGAACCTTCGAAGCCCTGCGCGAGCAAGCCGTTCACGGCCCTTCCGGCGAATGGTGAGTCCCCGGGGGGGTGCTCCCAGCCTCGAAACTGACCCCCCGGGGTGTTCGGCAGGTTCAGTTGCCGCGCATCGAGGTCCTCGGGACTTTTCCCCGGGCTCAGAAAAGCAGGCTCCGAGCAAGCGCGGAAGAGCATCCCCAGCTCGCCGCGCTGCTGCGCGCCCCCCGGGTCTGAACTCGTTCTCCAGTCATTCTGCGGAGAGGGGTTTTCCAGACCTATCTGCAGCAGTAGATTGTCCGCGTGCAAAGACTGGTACACAGATTGATCGTTCCGGGCGGTGCCCTGATCCCCAGGCAGCATGGGCCGCTTCGCCTCCCGGCGAATGAACTCGCGGATGCTCTCCAGATCAACCTCCGTCTTCGGCGGCCGGCCCCGCTTCTCGGGTGAATCAAACGAAACCTTAACCCACTCCTTCACCCCGGACAGCGCTTCCGAGGCGGGGGCCCTGTGCGAGGCCAGGGCGTCGCTTGCGCTGGTCTCGCTCCCGACTGGAACGGCGGCCACGGTCGAAACGAGGCCCCCGGAAGAAGCGAAGGCGCCGCGTGTATCGAAGTAACGAGGGGAAACGAGGCCTTCAGTGGAGAGAGGGCGCGCGATCCGCGCCGTTTGTCCGGGGGTCCCAAGAGTCGTGCGGGGAGGGGGGGGCTGGTTCGCGCTGAACGGCTGCAAAAACGACCCCCCCGGGAGAGGGTTGTCGCCGTGGTGGGCAAGAAGAGCGCGCAGGGGGGAGAGTTCGGGGGTACTTGAATGGGGGGGTAGCATGAGGTTGGATCTTTGGGGCCGGGGAGGGGCAGCCGCCAGAGCGTGGGCCGATGACAGCGCGCCGGAGCTAGATACCCGGGGGGGAGGCGGGGGTCTTTGAAATGCTGCAGAGGAAGGGAATGCAGCCGCTGATTAACATGCTCGCAAGTGGGCTTCTTTCCAGAAACATGGTCGAACGATGCTGAATGCATCGCGCTAGAGGGAACGAGCGTGGCACCGAGATCTGGGTCCAGAACAGGAGGGCCTCCAAACCAGCAGGTGAAAGTATTTTGTACTGCGAGCTAACAAGCTTTCGTGAGGGCTCGAAGAAGACGACCAGATGCTCTGAATAAATAGAGCCTTAACTAACGACTGCGGCGCTGTCAAAAGCCCACGGAAAGCTTCCGAGTGTAAAGAACAAATACTTGCCTGCCATGCTGAGAATCGTACTGCCATCTTTTCGATCCTTTCCATAAGCATCCGCAAGGGGCCATCCTCCGTAAGCCTTTCAAATCCTTCGTGGCCACTTAAAGAAACAATTTACAATAAGAGTAAATTGTCAACGTTCGATCCTTCCCCACCTGTCAGAAACTCCGCCCTCGGCGAGAGGAGCAAGCTATCGAGTGCCCTTTGGTCGAGCGAGTAGTCCTTCCGTTCCACTTCCGACGGCGTTCCTTCCTGAGGACTCGGCGTCGGAAGAAAGAGCTCCTCGTATCCCCGGGGCTCCGTCTCGGGCCACAGGGCGCCACCAACAAGTCTCTGCGGCACACTGCAGCAAAGAAAGTGGGTGAAGGAAAGGGTTTGGGGAGGCGGTAGTGCCGCAGCAGCCAAGAGGATGGGTTTCAAAAAAGGTTTAGAGAGCATGGGGTAAAGACAAGTTCAGAAAGCGTGAGTGCCGCAGCAGCAACGAGAATGGGTTAAGGAGAGGTTTTGAGGGCTTGAAGACTAGATGAGCTCAGAAGCTGCTTAGGAGGGGCAAAAAGATTCAGTCAGCTAGGCGGAGGGTTTAGGAAAACAGGCATCGGGCCAAATAAGGGACCTGTCCTGGAGAGCATCGCTGCAAACCGAGTTTTATTAAAGATCATAAGAGGGGCAGTCCATAAGAGTTAGCAGGAAGAAAGAGCTGTCTTGTGAGCCTTACCCGACTTCAGGGACCGAAGATGAGGTCCCGCTGTGTTCGCTACCATGGGACGCATACTCAATTGCGGCCTCCACTTGAGCCAGATCACTTTCCAAAGTAGGCAGCTGCTTTAGCCGAGGGTTCCTGAAGAGTTTCAGAGTTTCAATAAAGGTTTCTGTCCTTTAAGCTTTTAAGCTTTTAAACACGTTTTGGTGCCATCAGCCTGATTCATTGTAGGCTGTCAGAGCACTCAATACTTTTCCAAAAAGGCTCTGTGAACAACTCAACTTACTCGTGCCTGACGCAAGCATCACATGGTGCGAACTCTGACATGGCCTGGCACCGTTTTGACGTAAAGGATCCATGTCAGAAATATGAAAGCTGCCAGTGTCGATCTCTTTATCCATGCCCCTCCTTTGTTTCTGCATTCAAAGTTTGGTGCTTCAGTCGTTGGGACATCCTGTGACGTGACCTACCTCGTCGGAGACAGCAGCGGATTGAGCGACATGGGCGGAGGCAGATACTCAGCATAGTCCAGAATACAGGCCCAGTCTTTCTCAGCCTTCTTGCGGGCCATAAAGCGGAGTGAGTCGGCCTCGTTAGTAAAGAACCTGCAGGGCCGAAGCTTGCCCAAATGTCAGACTTTGCTGTCAAGAAAGGGGAAGGAAATAAATGCCAGCTCTGAACTTATCAATCAAGATGTTAGTAGGAACTTGAAGAGGGTGGGAGGAGGCCACCAGTCCAACTTAGCTTTAACAGAAGTAGAAGCTAAGGCGGCTTAGCATCATTGGACCACAAGCTTGTGGAGGCCGAAATCATGGGCAGGGCTTTGCAAGACCTGGATCAGCCGGGTCAGCGCCAACTTTCCACCCAACAGAGAATCTCAAAAGGGTGGGGGCAAGGTTCCAGAAGTAATCTGCAACGTCGGCGTCTCAAATCTACAAAGTTGGCGTCTCAAGGTCAGACCTTGCATGCAGACTTGCCCTAGAAACCTTGCCAGGCTACAGCGACTCCTGTGTAAATCTGACCACATAAGTGCATCACCAAACAAACCAACCTGCAACTGAACGAGGTTTCACCAAGGATTGGTAGAGAGAGCAGACCCAGAGATGCATTCTAGAAGTGCCCCCCAACTCCTGGTTGGCAGTTCGTGCAGGCATCTCATCTAGGTCGGTCCTGGCAGTCCCATAAGTCCAGGTTGCTGAAAACCCAGCGACGGTTCAGATGAAAGAGGACACATGTCATGCTCAACATCAAACCTGCCGATTCTTGATAAGTCCCCCAACTGGGCCAAACAGAGGTTAATAAGGGTAACCTTCAGAAGAAACAATTAATCATTACTAGTGACATTGGGCCTGGCTGAAGCCTTAAGAGGGACTTCCCCTCTGCCTATCCCTAACCATCTTCAAAGATAAGGTTACTGTCACAAGAGTGCAAGAAGGCTGTCACTGCAAAGAGGGGGTTCTTGAAAGGGCCTCCCCATTGTCTATCCCAAACCCCCAAAGCGGCGCTGCTTGAAGTAAATGACACCATCCTTGGCCTTACAAATGTGGTGAAGGCAAAGGAGGAAAAGCTCACATTCCAATAGGTTCGTGAAGCGGGTAGTAGCCGGTGGGGGAAAGACAGAAGCCCTGCTGGAGAGCCATGTACTGCCCCCCCTGTAAATACACCTGAACGCTCCGGATGTCCTCTGCACCGGATGAAAACGTCACTCACTTGACTGCGGTGTTTGAGTGGGTCAAGCCATATAGCACCTCTAAGACGTGGCTTCACCTGTCAATTGAAACAGCTGATCGTCCCTCTCAAGCTTGTTTATGGAGCTCTCTGTTGGTCTGTTTGCCCATGGCTTTGAAAACGAACCAGAGTACCTAGCTCAGAGGTTATTGCCAGAACTAAGTTTCAGGGACACACAGGTTGGTTAAGACCTTTCTTCAAGTTTCAAAGCTTGACTGATAGATGTAAAGCAAGCTGTTGGCAGCTCAGCCTGAGGTTGCCAAGACAGGAAGACAAGAAGTGCGGAACTGCCGCATCAGGCACTGACAGTTTCCACGCTTCAGGGGTGTTCCTCAATCAAAGCAGCCATACGGTAGACTTTATCTCCATCCAAACAGCCACAGAATTTCACCAAAATTGAAGGTTGTTAACTAACCTTGCATATTCTGGTCTTGGAATATTGCAATTGCCACCAGCTTGAAGCCTGGCTTTGCTTCCACAGACTCCCCCCCCACGTCGGCTACCGCGAGCCCCATCCTTTTGAGTCCCTGAGGGCCCCCTCAAATACTCAGTGCTCCGAAGACCTCCAGAGTCCGGAAAGCATTGAGCGTGAGGGGCCGATGGGTCCAGCTATACCTGCGTCGATTGAGAAAGAGTGCAGAGCTTCAATTGCGGTGCCAACGGCTGGAGCCACTGTAAAGTATGGGGGGCTGATCAGCAGCATGTTGTATTGAGAGGCAGGAAACACACAGCTGGGCCCCTGCCAATAATCCATTCAAAGTGCGGACATCAACTGCAAAGTCAGAAACAAGCAACATTCTGCACCCTTGTGGGGCTTTCTCTCCAAACTGGGATCACAGCTGGAGCAGCTCTTTGCAACCCAGGTCTTTTTCGGCTTGACGTTAACTCATTCTGGTTGAAACAGGCAAGGAGGGATACTGTCAACCAGCTATAGCTGTGCACATGGTGACTGCCCCCAATTTCAACATCTGCCCCATGACAGGGTAAACATGGCAAACAAAACACTAGGGAAGATTGAAGGGGAAGCACAGGCACCGAAGCCATCCCACATTCTTATATATTCGGATTGCGCAGAACTGACCGGAGGATGAGCACCGATAGCATAGTCAGGACACCAACTCGCAGAGGGCCAGTTTCTGCAACGCTGAGTGCTCTTAATTGACTTCAACTGAACACTCGGAACCTCTTGTAGATACGTACCTTGGTTCCTGCAAAGTCCACGTTCTATTGGCAGCTGACTTTGGCGGTTCTTCCATGATCACCCCCTCTGAAGCCTGTGGCTAAGCTCTAGAAAAGCTCCTCTTGGGAGAGGCACTTGCGCAACAATGTGGTAATCAAAGCAACCCTGCTGCTATGCTGCTGCTCCTGATTGATTGATCGGCGCGATCAGATCAGCAGACAACAACATGATCTCTGCGTGGCACCATATTCATCATGTGGCCCCCAACGGATTTGCTGCAACACATTCCTTAGACAACCTCGGTGGCCGTGATTGCTCATCCCTCCCAGGAGCAGGCCAGGCTTACTTACAATGCTGCGCAGATCAAGGCTAAACCAACTGATAAAATATGTAACCTAAAGTGGTCAGGTGCAGATCGACTTCCACTTTCTCAGCGAGCTGCTTCCTTCCTTCACTAATCATTCTGAGCTAGCAGCTACTTACTCCTTGCCCAATCCTCTTCGGCTCATGGTCCGGCTTTTGTGTTACCTAGCTGCCTGATGCCAGTGATGGAGCCTGCACCTCTGGACTTCGAAGAGGAACCCAGCGGCGCGGACTCAATCCTCCGAGACGATCACTCTCCAGGCTCTACGATCATCTCAGGATGCACGTCTCTCTTTGGGTCCAAAGATAGCTGCAAAGAAGGCGCACGTGCGTTGAGCTCTTCTCTGTAACGTCTGTACGGCGCAGGTCAAAAATTCGTACCTACCTACTTCCACAGGCTGTCACGGTGTGAGCACTGAGTACCGTGACGGTTTACACAGCACATGTCTTGAATGTTGAATCCGGACTCCGGAGTAGGGCCACGTAGCCCCGGGCCTGCACTGACGATGATGGGTACATCTACGTCACCTTTGTTTGAAGAAGCTACATTGGCGGGAGAGAATCCACCTCACCATGGTACGTCCATGTACCCGCGGTACCTACCGGGATCTCACGGAGATTTGCTGGTGTGTACCGACGGGATCTTCTTATAGATCGTACCCGGCAGCTTGTATGAAAGTAAAGTGCGTACGGCGTACGAAATGTACATACCTGTGCTATCAAACAAAACTCAAGAATTAAGATAGCTACAGTATTATAGGAAGCTGAGATAACAATTAGAGGTAACCGCACTGGGACGGGCAGGGTTGGTTTGGGGGTTAGGGTGGGTAAGGGTACGGAGCTGAGCCGGTGTTTTTTTTTGGGTTAGGGTTTCTGATCTTAGTCGGTGGCTGGGGCTATAATATTCTATATTGGGCTTATTATTATCTTTCTTGCGTTTCAACCGCATTCGGACCGGAATGGTCCGTACTCTCGTGGTTTACCGGTGATCGATTTAGGTATCTACTTAAATCGGATGATCCCCCGCGGCCGGCCGAGCCTCGGAGACGACGACAGCCAGGCTTCTCGCGGAGCTACAGGCAGTGAGCAAATTCTACCCCGGTGCGGCGTGCCGCAAAAATGCCGCGCACAGTGCAGTGAGTGCACCCTGCCCTCGGCCGTCGCCGTTTCCGGAGCCCCGCCGGGGTACGGTAAACCGTAATACGGTATAGGTACCTAGGTAGTGATCGACGATGAGTCGGACGGTGACCGGTCCACAGTAGGTACATACCGGTAAGTACTACCGTAGAGACATTCCTAATTCGCACTAAATTAATTTTAGGCCTTGCGAGAAATAAAAAACTAAGTTTCGACTTAGGTGCGAAAATGCGAAAGTAAAGTAAATTCCCTGGCAGCCCAAAAAGTCGCAAAAACCAGGGCAAAAACGCCAGAAATAAGCAAAAACGAAAATTTTAATACAATCGTCGAAGCTGCCGCGAAATGAAAAAACTTTCAAAAATAAACATTCGCACCCAGGTGGTGCGAATTAGGATTGTCTCTACGGTAGACTTACGTGTGGCACTCGGGACCAGTGTTTCCCCTAATTATTTTGATTGCTGGCCGCCGGGCCGGCCGGGGCCTGAGTTTGCCGGCCCGTTGGGCCGGGCCGAGGTCGCCATTGCCGGCCCAAGTCCCGCCAAATTATATGGAATTTTCGCGCGCGCACCCCATAAATTTGAAATTTTACAATATCTGCTCCAGTTTCCTAGTCTTTCATAAGTCTCTAGCTTTTTCGCATGTGAAATATCGACCAACTTCCTTCCTGACCTACCGAGGGGTCAGCTTCGGGCTAAATTTGGCCAAAAGTTCCCGGGGGAGGATTTTCTGGGTACCAAAACTTAGGATTTTATCAAATCCTGACCGTTTATCACACTAGATACGATGCAACAGAGCCAGCTGTGAGCTTTCATTGCCGGCCCAAGAGGCCGGCCCGTGCGCCGCAATGCCGGCCGGATGGGCCGGAGGCCGGCCCCCATTGCCGGCCCAGTTCGACCATTGCCGGCCATTTTACCAGAGAGTGGGCCGGCAGGGGAAACACTGCTCGGGACCGTACGGCAAGACTACGGTACCTTTGTACTAGGTACGTACCGGTAGTACGTAGGACATGACGGAAGCAACTTCGATTA